TTTAGCAGAAATGGCTAAGATTTCTGCCTATTTGAAGGATCACTCACAAGAAAGATACATTTCGGTTTGGAGAAGATGGATAGATTATATTCAGAATAAATATGGGACTAAAAAGTTCCATTTAGCCTATGAGTAAATTTTAGAGTATTATTAGTATTAATAGTTTATTATAGTGAAATTTTTATTAGTTTTAATTATACTATTACTTTTAGTATTAGTATTGTTTAACAATATGGATATTCCATTGTTTAATAATTAGGGTACTAATTTGTTTATGTTTTAATTATTATTATATTTATGTTAAAGGGGAGTTAAAGCGCATTATGGACTTGGTTATTTATATAGTTGGTTAATGTTAGTTAGATTATGATTATTATATTTGTAACCCTGTATTCAGCTCTGGGAAGTGGGGGAGGGAGGGGGGATTTAGGGGGGGTTGTTTTGGGGGTTTATATTGTAACTTTTATAAAACTTTTCAATAAAAAAAATGAATTCCTACAATTCTAATGTTTTAGACACCCAAGTTAAGTATCAGAAAAAAAACATACACTTTTTATCCACTCCCACGCTAACAATCGATATATGAAAATGTAGGATTTAAGTTTAAACTCGAGGTGGACAATGTTTCAGACCTTAGAGCTTGCACTGAAAGCAGAGTTTCTTGAAACTAATAGCAGCTTCCAGCCAATAGGATATAGGAAAACAGATAAAAATAACTCTTTGTGGTTCCTGACTTTTTTTCCCCCTTTCTTTTGGATCAGGAGCAAGTGGTGTTGGAAGAAGCCACATTAAGAACACGCTGCTCAACAAATACCCGGAGAAGTTCGGATATCCTGTTCCATGTATGTCTGCCCACAAGAAACCTACTCAATATGTCTCTTTGGGAGGAGACACTAGATCCCTGTTTTTCAAGCTTAGCAACTTGAAGATGTGTGGACTTCAATTCTCAGAATTCCCCAGCTAGCAATGCTGGCTGGGGAATTCTGGGAGTTGAAGTCCACACACCTTAAAGTTGCCATTTTGAAAAATATTGTTCTGGATCCTCCATTGGAAATTTGCCTGGCTCAGAATATGCTTCTTGGCTCTTTCCATCTGCATATTTTTTTAAGTTGGAATGTTTTATCCCACTGTTCTGCTCGCAGAGATCCACAAGCCATTGTACCTATACAACTCTTGATTTGCACTGCAAATAAAATTGGACATGCTATAATTTAGAGGTTTCCTTGGGGAGAACCATTAAGGAAGGGTTTTATTTATTTACTCACCAAATCTATATGCCTTGGAGAAGAGATTATATAGTCCAGCGATAGAAGGTAGTGTAAGAAAGAAACTCAAAATATTTCCACCTTGTTAGCATAAATTGGCACCAAGAAAATGTAAAAGGCTTTCCAAGATTGATGCCAGCCCTCTGAAGTAGGCTTGGTCAAGAAACAAACCTTGCATGGATTCCAAAAACTTTACTGTTTTATTAAAAGGCATATTACCAGAATCTTGAAAGTCTGGGATGGTATACGGTCTCTGTTTTGAGTCCCTTCCAACTCTGTTGTTATTTTGTCCAGGTTCCTTTCTGTCTAGTCCAGGGGTAGGCAATCTTGGCTCTTTTATGACTCGTGGGCTTCAACTCCCAGAATTCCTGAGCCAGCATGGCTCAGCTTGGAAACCTCTCCCTTTTCCCTCAGCATGGCTGGCTCAGGAATTCTGGGAGTTGGCCCACGAGTCATAAAAGAGCCAAGGTTGCCTAAGCCTGGTCTAGTCTGATACTGAACAGAATCAAGGTGGAGTTATTTTGAATTTCTTTCTCACTCTTCCTTCTATCTCTGGACTGTACAATTGCTTCTCCATCTCTCTCTTTAATGCTCTCTCCTGCATTCTCCAAGGCCACTTCTAAACTACTTAAAAATATGGAAGTCTGTGTCTTTTTTTTATCTAGCGAAAAAAGAATAAAAAGCTTAGTTGGGATGGTGGGGAAAGTTTGGTAGCTACCTCCAGAGGTTTTTGGACTGGCCATATTCACCCTACCCAAATTCCATACGTGCCCAGCAATTAGTTGCCAAGCCTGGTTGAACTGGTATTTCCATCTCGTTCCCCAGGTTCTTGAGTCACAAATTTTCCCAAGTGTATTTGGACTCGGGAACACAAATATGAGGACCTCTTGGGTTCACCCATCTCCACGTAGATGCAACAATTCACTTAATCGCACCTCCCAAATTATTCCATAATTTGAGCAGATGCTATGGGGACCCACCTCCTTACAGTTTTTTGTCACGTTGCGCTGATTTTCACAGATACCACTCGGCCCCAAAAGAAGAATGAAGAGGATGGGAAGAACTATCACTTTGTCTCCACAGAAGACATGACGAAAGAAATCTCGGCTAACGAGTTCCTGGAATTTGGAAGTTACCAGGGCTACATGTTTGGCACCAAATTTGAGACTTTGCACAAGATCCATCAACAGGGCAAAATTGCAATCCTGGACATTGAGCCTCAGGTAGGAAGAGGCCTGTCACTCATCTGTTTAATCAGCAGGCACCCTTCTACTTCTTGCACTAAGAGAAAATAAAGAGGGCAAAAATGTAAATTTCATAAATGCGGAAGGAGCAGAGACAAGTGAGCCAAGACAAAGGATAGATCTTTCCATATTCTTCAATCGGGGGGTACCTTGCTCAATAGTAGTAACTGTGAGAGGGACCTCGCAGACCTAGTGGACAATCTCTTAAATATGAGCCAGCCGTGTGCTGCAGCTGCCAAAAAGGCCAACACAGTGCTAGGCTGCATTAACAGAGGGATAGAATCAAGATCACATGAAGTGTTAATACCACTTTACAAGGCCTTGGTAAGGCCACACTTGGACTACTGCATCCAGTTTTGGTCACCGCGATGTAAAAAAGATGTTGAGACTCTAGAAAGAGTACAGAGAAGAGCAACAAAGATGATTAGGGGACTGGAGGCTAAAACATATAAGGAACGGCTGCTGGAATTGGGTATGTCTAGTTTAATGAAGAGAAGGACGAGGGGGGACATGATAGCAGTGTTCCAATATCTCAGGGGCTGCCACAAAGAAGAGGGAGTCAAACTATTTTCCAAGGCGCCTGAAGGCAGGACAAGAAGCAATGGATGGAAACTAATCGAGAGAAGCAACCTAGAACTAAGGAGAAACTTCCTGACAGTTAGAACAATTAACCAGTGGAACAAGCTGCCTCCAGAAGCGGTGAATGCTCCAACACTGGAAGTTTTTAAGAAGAGACTGGACAGCCATTTGTCTGAAATGGTATAGGGTTTCCTGCCTAAGCAGGGGGTTGGACTAGATGACCTCCAAGGTCCCTTCCAACTTTATTATTACTATTACTATTATTATTAGCCAAAAGGGGTCCAAAACTCCTTTAGAAATTGACATACCGTCTATCAGTTGGTACTGTAAATCAAATTGAGTATGCACCAGTCAAGGGAAGACCACCCCTTTCCTTTGTATTATCCTTAACTCTGTAATTTCTATTCAGATAAATATTTTAAGAGGTTAGAATCAAGAATAGAATCACTTTATTAAGCAGGCATGGAAATTAATCACCTCCAAGCTCTACCTTGACAGTCCTAGGCAGTCCCATTATAACTCAGGGAAATAGGCTATCTTTTTGATTTAAGGCAAAAATTTACTCTCTCCCTCTTCCTTTTGACAGACACTGAAAATCATCCACACTGCCGACTTTTCTCCTTTCGTTGTGTTCGTTGCTCCTCCAAAGCAAGCTGATCAGGTACCTGGTGGTGGGCCCTTAATGTGAAATTATGAATGCTTTTGGGGGGTTAATGAAGAAGCCTCTCATCCTTAACATTTAATTCTCTTACGCAGTTTTTTGCCCAAGTCTTCACCTATGACAGTGATGGCGAACCTTTTAGAGACCGAGTGCCCAAACTGCAACCCAAAACCCATTTATGCATCGAGTGCCGGGTGGGTGTGGCCCATTGACTGGGCGTGGCCAATCGGGTGGGCGTGGCTGCGGTGATAACGGCAGACTGGGTGGGACTAAAAAGTTCAATCAATCAATTCCAACTTTGCAAGATCTTTTTTTTCCCAGCAAGTTGAAATTGACTGATTGAACCTTTTTTTTTTTTTGTACATGGCGGCGGAGGCCTAAAGCGAAAAGGTTTTATAAAACCCAGCTGAAGGCCTAGGACTGGGACGACAGTGCGTGTGCCCACAGAGAGGGCTCTGAGTGCCGCCTCTGGCACCCGTGCCATAGGTTCGCCACCACTGACCTATGGGGTTGCTAGGTGCATGCAGAGATGTGGCTATCTGAATTTCAGCAGCTCTGGGTATAGAATCTAAAACCTCTTAATTGTTGTGATTTTTGGAAAGATTTTTGTGTCAACCATGACTTAAGTTGAGTAAAACCATGTAGAGGTGTGGTGTGGGTCTATACATATGTTGTATATAGTATGTTTAGGTGTGTGTCATGTATGTTTCACTTTAAGAGCGGGCAACTAAATTTCATTTTTGATGTGTGCCGTTGTGCCCACAGTAAAAAAAAATGACAGTAAAGGTTATTTTAAAAAAAATACACATGCGGATTATTTAGAAAGTCGAAACCTTGAGTTTTCTTCAAATCAAATACAAGTAACCCTCAACTTACAACTGGATGCTTAGTGACTGTTAGAAGTTGCAACAGCCACCTTCCCCCAAAGGTACTTATACCCTTGTTCTGAAATTTTGATAGCCACCCCCTTCAGTCGTGTGTCCACATTGCGGATACTTGGCAACCAGCCCACATTTACCTGTTTTTTGCCATTATGGTTGTAAGCCAAGGGCAACCTGTTATATTTTTTACGTCAATTAGAAAAGCATCTGTAGATAGAAGAGACAGAGAGAAGAGTTGGCTCTTAAGGCTGATGATCTTAACTTTTTTGGGTTGAGCATCTTTTCTTTACGGTAATGTCAAGAGAGTTTGGGTGAAATATCTGCATGCTGTGCCGTGACCTAATCCTTGTGATTTTCTTTCTCTACAGATGGAAACCTTGCAGCAACTTCAGAAAGACACAGAGGCTATCCGGAGCAGATACGCCCATTACTTTGATTTGGTGCTGGTGAACAACGGGGTTGACGAGAGCCTTGAACACCTGCAGGCAGCGTTTGAGCGGGCATGCAGCTCCCCACAGTGGGTGCCAGTCTCCTGGGTGTATTGAGCTGGCAGCACCCATTTAGGCCACCTCATTGCAGCATGTTGAGGACAATCTTCCCTGCTCCATGCTTCTGCCCAATACGCAACCTTCTTGGAGCTGCACCCTTGCCTGTTACTTCCCAGCTGCAAAACATCCTTAGAAGAGCGTCTATGGATGCAGCTTGCCCCTCTTTTGTTCTCTATTTCCATTTATTTGCAGATGTTAGCAGCAGGGGACAGTCTAATACTCCTCTTCCACTATCAATAAGGTTTTAAACAGGGATACTAAAAACACGTTCTGCACAAAAGCCATAAACGCCATGAATGTTAAAGAGCCGTGTTTTAACTCAACACATTTTCCTAGTTTTTCTTTTTCCCCTGCTTGTGATAGAGGCGTCTTTCAAACCTCTGCATGGATGAGATTTACTCCTTCACTCATCCTTTTTGGGAAGGGAACTGTGAACTGATGTTGAACGTCCCGTTTTGAGTGTTCTTTTGCCTCCGTCACAAAAGTATTTGTTCTACACTACACCGGGGGGAGGGGATGGCCCTCAAATAACTACCTTTGTAACAGGGATAAACAGGAGGGAGCATGGCTGACCATGTGTTAAATCTCATGCTCTTCTTGAGGATGCCAAAAATAGACAAATGTGCAATAGAAACATTCGGTTGAATCCATTACAGGGAAAATTTAACAAGCAGCAATAAAGTCTGATTCAAAAATGCGACTGGTTCACCTTACTGTCTGTACCCATCTTTTATGAAAAACTGGAAACTGAAAGTTGTAGGAGAGGCGTGTCCGATCATGGTGGAAGAGCGGTAGCAAAATGGACTAACCAATTTTTATTAAATGGCAGAAACTGGTGAAAGCGGATGAAATGGATCTGATGAGATAGGACGCAGCTTGCGGAGTCCAAGGGATGCTATCAAACTTCTGAAAAAAGTGGAGAATAGTTCCTTTTGGTTAAGGCACATTGCAATTACCGTATATACTCGAGTATAAGGCGACCCAAATATAAGCCGAGGCACCTAATTTTACCACAAAGAACTGGGAAAAAGTATTCGGTGTCGACTTTTAGTGATTGCATAGATTCCCCCCCCCCCAAAAAAGAACTACGGTACTCACTTTCCTCATTTCTCGAGACGCTGACTCGAGTATAAGCCGAGGGGGGCATTTTTCAGCACAAAAAAAATGTGCTGAAAAACTCGGCTTATACGCGAGTATATACGGTAGCTCAACCCGCAATTTAAGATGGGTGGACTTCAACTCCCAGAATTCCCAGACAGCACACGCTGAATTCATTACATCATGAAAACTATGGCAATGCTACCACTCTCTTCTCAGCCATAGGACTACAATGAATCTTGCCGATGAAATAAAGGCAGTCCTTATCTAATGGCCAGTTGCTTGGCGACTATTTAAAGTTACAACAGATCTCTCTCTCTCCCCTCCCCTTCCAAAAGGTACTGATGACCTGGCTTCTGGAGTTTTAATAGTCCTCTTGTAGTCACATGACTTCATTTTGGGTGCTTGGCAACTGGCTGGCCTTTCTAACCAGTTGTGGTGCTCCATAGTTACGTGACACATTTTTTTTTGTGTGCTAAAAACGGATCTTTTCTGCCCCCCAAAAATGCCCATAGAAATATATTGACTTGCTTAATAACACTGGCGTTTCTTTAACCACCATTGTGGGGAAAAAAAAGTGATAAAATTGGGTTGTGGGTGTCTCAACTTAACGATGGAAATTCCAGGCTCCATTATGATAGTAATTCGAGGATTAACACTATACTCTTGAGAATGGCAATCAGGAAAATAGTACCAATTCTTCCTGGCCTCTCTATGTCAAGATGTCAACTGTTGCCAGTTCCTTCCTTGGGTTTTGCGGTATTGCAGCCCAGCCCAAAGAAAGCAGATTCGAAATCAGATATGTAAACTTTTAATTAGAAAAGTAGAATTGATTATTCTGCCTAGAAAGGGAGAGCTGGGTAAGACAGGACTAGCTCATCCTGCTGGGTATGGTGATGTCTCTACTACAACGGCGAGCACAGAGATATGATTTGCAACCCTCTTCTGGGGACTGTTTGGGAAGGGAGTAAAAACATGGAGAAAAATAAATTCTGAATTCTGCTCTTGAGTTAGGCCAGACGGCTGCTGCTCCCCCTTTCTCGTCGGTACAAGGTTCCCTTTTGAACTAACAAAAGCTTTAGACCCAAGTGGGAAAAGCCTAGTCCAGGGGGTAGGCAACCTTGGCTCTTTTATGACTCGTGGACTTCAGCTCCCAGAATTCCTGAGCCAGCATGGCTCAGCATGGAAACCTCTCCCTTTCCCCTCAGCATGGCTGGCTCAGGAATTCTGGGAGTTGAAGTCCACGAGTCATAAAGCGGCCTAGGCCAGAGGTAGGCAACCTTGGCTCTTTTATGACTCGTGGACTTCAACTCCCAGAATTCCTGAGCCAGTATGGGGGAACTATAGCCCCCTCATGACTCGTGGACTTCAAAACTCCCAGAATTCCTAAGCCAGCCATGCTGAGGAGAAATTGAGAGGTTTCCAAGCTGAGCCATGTTGGCTCAGGAATTCTGGGAGTTGAAGTCCACCAGTCCTAAAAGAGCCAAGGTTGCCTACCCCTGGTCTAGACTTAGTTCTTAAGGGAATCAAGGCAAGTAGGGGGGGAAAAAACACCAGAAAAAGAAAAGGTTACAAAAACATTTTAAAAGGAAGCGTCTGACAATATCAGGCTTAACTGATTTCTCCTCTTAATCTTCACCAACCTTCAGCAGCTCTTCGGGCTGATAGGCATAGGAAGAGGGTTGCTAACCGTGCCGAGACCGAATATCGCCATCTCCCAGGTAGCACTCTGAAAGTCCCAAGGACCAGGGAAGCGAGTCTGCTGCCTCAATTATCTGAAACTATCCTTAGAACAGGACAGAGAGGGGGTGCCACACTTGGCTCCCCCCCCAAATAATTTGCACAGCAATCAGGACACGCCTCTACACGCTGCTCCAGTCTGCATTTTTTTTTTTTGTCTGTCTGCGAAGGCCTTTGCGTTTTTCCTTCCCAAACTGGTCCAGGCTGCTGGCTCGGGATGGCAGTGAGGGAGTTATTCAGAGCTCTCCTCTACTTCTTCTCGTTTCTTCTTCTTCTTTTTCTTTTTCACGCTCAGATCACTGACCTGGGGGGGGGGGGGGAGAGAAGAGAAGAGCTCAAAAAAAGAAAAGAAAAAAGACCCGAATTCCTGTCCCTCTTTTCTGGAGAACCCAAAGATTCCAACGTTATTTCCAAGAAGATTTAGTTCCCACGAATGCCAGCTAAAGGAATTTGAAGGTATATCGTGCAAGGTTTTTAGTCTGGCACAGCAATTAAAAAAAAAAACAACATTGTGTTAATTGTTGTGCCTCCCTTTTATTGCTGGATATATCCGATGCTGCTCTGGATACGCATGCCTTACTCTTGTGAATGGGCCGTCCCAGGTAAAATCTGCCACACCCCACAACGTTTTAAGCGAGTTATAGAACTGTTTTGTTTTCCATACACCTTTGCAGCATTTGTGCATCAGGCTAAACCACCAAAACATTTACCAAGGTGTTATGAAAATGCTGTACAGGTAGTCTTTTGATTTATGACCGCTCATTTAGTGACTGACTGAAGTTCCGACAGACCTCCCTGGCGATACTTAGAACCCTGGATTCAAAATGCTGATGGTCGCCTTAGCAACCAGGCAGCATTTACAGCAGGTTTGTATTTCACAATATTTTGGCAAAACCTGGCGTTTAAGGTTTTTGGCAAAAACATGCCCAGAGCAATATAATAATAATAATAATAATAATAAAGTTGGAAGGGACCTTGGAGGTCATCTAGTCCAACCCCCTGCTCAGGCAGGAAACCCTATACCATTTCAGACAAATGGCTGTCCAATCTCTTCTTAAAAACTTCCAGTGTTGGAGCATTCACCGCTTCTGGAGGCAGGTTGTTCCACTGGTTAATTGTTCTAACTGTCAGGAAGTTTCTCCTTAGTTCTAGGTTGCT